ATACCATAAAATGGCCAATTAAGTCCCCTCCCTTTAATTAGCACCCCCCCGTCTTTCAGGAAAAGAAAGTTAATAAGGTCCCCTCTCTATTATATCAGTCCCCCCTTTACCTCTCCTAAATATTGTTGACTAATAAATTATGATAGATTGTATTACTCACTAACTACTGTAAAAAATTGTGTCGACTGATTTGTGATGGTTTATTTACCAACTCGAAGTTTGGATTTAATTGTGATTCTTGCATTGCTTGACCTCCAAGCTTCTTGTACTTTCAAGAGCGTTTCCACTTTGTATCCTAGTTGCTTGTGGACAACTGATGTGATCAGCTTTTGTAAATTAAATAAGCCCCTCTCTCAAATAAGCTCTCTCTCTGAAATGGGCTTGAAATAAATAAGCCCCCCAAAAGGGGCTTAAAGAAGGATTTACAGTATGTGATTTCACAAAGAAATTTAACTGATATGTACCATTTTGAATAGTAAAATAAGAGTCAATGTAGTAAAAAGTATTGAAAATTTTTACTCACAGGGTGCTGCATCATATCCATCACTATTTATCAAGTGTTTCAGAGCAATAAGTGGAAAATGGATTTGATCAATAGCAGGAAAAATTGATTGAAGGTTATTTATGTGTTTTGTTTTTTATTTTGTAAGGCAACGTTGAACATGTAATGTTGGACAAGATTCTTACAGGTAAGTATTAATTATTTTTCGGTATATAATAATTATCTTCGCTACTGATACTCTTGTTTCTTTCATGTAGATCGAGAAATAGAAATTCTGATTGATGACGATAAGTGTAAAAAGAAAGAGTTTTCAAGAGTGTGAAGCATTTGTTCTCACGTTTTTTTTTTCTGATCACTTTCATGGGAGACTACTGAAGAAATAACACCTACATTTTGCAACAAAGTTGTTGAGTCATTGTACTCAAATAGAATAACTTTATAGGAAAAAACAATCTGGATCGCTTCCCCTTCCATCTATTCAAACTTGAGTGTTAGTTGAGAGCAGTTGTTTTATTCTTGTCTTCAGGATAATATTACATTAATGTTTCATATGGTTTAAGTAAAAAGTAGTAAATATTTTTATTATCGCATTGTTCACTATTTCAAGTGTATCAAACTGTACTAAATTCATATTCACCAAGGGGTACTTGCTTTGGTTTCCGAATTCCACACAGACGGGAATCTGTTGGAAAATTACAAAGTAATTATTATGAATGACTTACAGTCATATTTTTAGCTCAGTATTTCAGTTTGACCTAGAATTTGTTAAGAAAGGTGGTTTAACTTGTTTCGAGAACAGTAATAGCAGTAGTTTAAGGAGTACTGATAAATTACTTTACCTCTTGTTGTTAGTGATGTCTGTACCCCTATGTCTGTGAAAAAGAATTATTGAAAAATTTGTTTAAGGCTCATTTTTATACTGTCAAAATTGTCTAAGAGGACTTAAATGTGTTCTATAGATAATATGATAACCAATTGTTATTAACAGATAGACATAAAAGACATCCACTATAAAAATGGGTTCTGTTAACTGCAATTATTTACCATGTGTAGGTAGTGGGATTATTGTTTCTGCAGTACATTTTTTGGCAGGTGAGTTGTATTGTGAAGGAAGTGGCAAAGCCGAAAGGGAAAGTCCTGCCTGCCACATTTTTTATGAGTTTTGAATGCTCCCCACTTTTGTTACCTTTGTTGGAACGATTTGATTTGATTACCCAGTCAGGAAGAGTGGTATAATAGGAAACTGATCTGCAAATGAGGCAGGTGAAGTGTAACAATCAAGTCATGGATAAAAAGAATTAGATGTTGCAAGTTATTTAAGATACATGCAGGATATTCTGTAGTTACTTTAAATATGAGAAAGTTAAACTTTTATTCAACAGCGATTTAGGTGCAAAAAAAATGTTTCTTGTTCAAAAGAGGTCAAAGAATCCCTAAATTGCTTGAGAGGTCAAATTCTGCTTCATGACGAAAACCAGAGATGCTAGAATGGACAGGAAACACATCAGCCTCATTCATAAAGTCTCAATGGGCAAATATAATGCTTGCTCAGTGTAAAGGAATAATTGTCTATAGCATACTCTACCCGTGTAAATTTTCTAACCTATGAGTATTATCAAGCACTCTTTTCATGTTGAGCTGGGATTGATCACGCACTTTGCACTCCATGACAAAAATGTCGTCTGATGTGCTTTTGTTAAATAGCCGATTCTGTGTTTTAAAACAAGATTAGCTAGTTTCAGTTGTTTTTTAAGAAAGGATAACAGATGTCTTGAATATTGAGATGTACTTAGCATCAAAAAATGCCTTTGTAGAATTTTATCAAGCATAAGTCTTATTAAGGAGTGGAGCCTCTTTATACATTGCTTAATTTTAATTAATTTCCGCATTGACATGCTAACTTTTCCTTGGGAGATAGTAGAGACACTTGGTGTTTTATCATTTCTCAGCAAATTAGAGACTCCCATAAGGCTGGTTGTAGAGTATTCAAATTACCCAAGAATTGTGACAGGTGGCATTTCAAATGAACTTGTATCCACTGTTCTTGTGCGTTTGGTGCCAAAACAGCACTCCCACGCTAATCCTGCAAGCTATGAACACTACTGGAGTAAACCATGTGAAAAGCATGTGAAGATCATGTGAAAGACATGTGAAAATTTCACTTGCTTTTTCACATGGGCATGTGTGAAAAACAGTGTGAAATCACCATGTGAAAACCAAGTGAAATGTATAGAGAGCTTAATCTGAAACGAAGAGATCTCATTCGTCCTGACCTAAACAAGCAATATGCTCCTTTATGCAACCCATCTACAGCTGTGTCAACATTCTTGTTTGGAGATGACCTAAACAAAGAAGTGGAAGAGTTAACCAAGTCACAAAAGCTCAGCAATAAAGTGACTCCTAAGAGACGCATGGAACCTTACAAAGTCCCCGCCTCTAGAGGTGTGCGTGGTCGTGGCCGCTTTGGTCATAGTGCTGGCAGGGGAAGAGCCTCCTCTAATTCTTTTTTAGGTCAAGGCCGGGGCCATGCTCGGCCCCAGCAGAATCCCAGGACCTCGGCAACCAAGACCCAGTAGGATCACCAGCTGAGGTAAGTCAGACAACTCTTGCTACTACTATTATTGCAAATCAAATTCCTTTTAAGGCAGGAGGGCTGCGGGACTGTCTTCATGTATGGAAGACTATCACATCAGATCCTTTTATCTTGGATGCAGTTACTCACTGTGATATTGAATTTGACCGGGAACCTGGAATATGTACTAGTGTTACTAGGCCTTTTTGTTCCTTCACTGAAATTGAGCAGACTATCATTGACAATGAAGTAGAAAAATTCCTTCTTAAAGGGATAATAAGGCTATCATCACATGAGGATGGCCAGGTGATATCTCCAATTTTTACAAGGCCTAAGAAAGATGGGTCTCACAGGGTTATATTTAACCTAAAGAAACTGAATGAGTCCGTGACATACCATCATTTTAAAATGGACACGTTAGAGACAGCTATTAGACTCATGAGGCCTGGATGTTACATGACATCTATAGATTTGAAGGATGCGTATTACTCTATCCCTATTGCAGAAGAACATCAGAAATATTTAAAATTTATTTGGAGGGATCAGTTGTATGCTTTCACTAGCCTCCCTATGGGATTGACTAGTAGCCCTAGGATTTTTACGAAAGTTTTAAAACCAGTCTTTAGCTACTTGAGAAGTCAGTTTGGCCACACCTGTCTGGGCTATATTGATGACTCTTTCTATCTGGAAGATAGTTATACAGAGTGTGCAGAAGCCACATTACGTGCTATACAACTTTTTGTCAGTCTGGGTTTTAAAATCCATCCAGAAAAGTCAGTTATTATACCAACACAGATCTTAGAGTTTTTAGGGTTTATTTTGAACTCTATTCTCATGTTAGTTACTTTGACTAACAAGAAAGCTGTTAAAATTTTGCAGTTGTGCCAAAAGTTCTCTTCCAAATAAACGGTTTACTATTCGTGAAGTTGCATCTTTTCTTGGGACCTTAGTCTCCAGCTTTCCAGGCGTGGAATTTGGCCCTTTACATTATCGCCACATTGAGGTTGACAAAGAAGCAAATTTGAAATTGAACCAGGGGTATTTTGATTCATTCATGACCTTGTCTCATGACAGTTTGGAAGAGATTCACTGGTGGTCTGCAAATATTCTAACAGCGTCAAGAAGAATTTTTCATAATAGCCCTGATGTAGTTGTTTACACTGATGCATCCCAAGTGGGTTGGGGTGCTCAAATCGAACATGGGAATAACACTAGTGGCATCTGGTCTAAGTCAGAGTCATCCAGGCACATAAATTACCTGGAATTATTGGCAGTTAAGCTTGCTCTGTCCTCGCTACTTGATGCCAGGAACAATATTCATGTGCGGGTTATGTCTGATAACAACACTGCTGTGTCTTACATTAATTCTATGGGAGGTTGTAGATCTTTAGAATGTAACTCCATTGCTAAGGATATTTGGGATTGGACTATTGACAAAGATATTTGGTTATCAGCAGCCCATATTCCAGGATCAAGCAATATTGATGCTGATCAGTTATCTCGGAATTTGAATTTGGATCTGGAATGGATGCTTTCCGCTCCAATTTTTCAGAGGATAGTAGCTTTATTTGGCAAACCAGGTATAGATCTATTTGCTAGTAGACTTAATGCTCAGGTAAAGGATTATGTTTCCTGGAAACCACATCCAATGGCAAAGTTTGTGGATGCTTTTACCATTGATTGGTCACAATTTTTCTTCTATGCTTATCCTCCATTTTGTCTTGTTTCAAGGTGTGTACAGAAAATAATTCACGACCAGGCATCAGGAATTCTAGTAATTCCCTTGTGGACAACTCAGCCTTATTTTACGGCTGTACTGAGCCTACTAACAGAAACGCCACGTGTATTCAATGCTTCAGTTCAGAACCTGATTCATCCAACTCTGGACGGTCCTCATCCCCTACACCAACGCCTGCAGTTGATGGTATGCAAGTTATCAGGCGATCCTTGCAAGAGTCTGCAATTTCGTCAGACATTGTCGACATCATCATGCATTCATGGAGAGACAGCACTCAGAAACAATATAAAGTGTATATTAACAAGTGGTTGCAATTTTGCAATGAAAGGAAGATTGATCCGTTGCATCCCACTGTAACAGCTGTACTCTCTTTTCTGCACAGTCTTTTCAAGAGTGGCTTGAGCTATTCTGCGTTGAATACAGCTCGGTCTGCAGTCTCTAACATTGGTATGAGTGATAATGATGCTTCATCTCACACACCTATAGGGAAGCATTCCTTGTTTGCCGTTACCTTAGAGGGGTGTTCAACAAGCTCAAGCCTGTGCCGAAGTATAACAATATCTGGTCCGTGGATACTGTCCTTGATTACTTGAGTTTATATTGGCCCCTGCACGAGATCAATTTGAAGGAACTCACCCTGAAATTAGTCATGTTGATTGCCTTAACTACGGGGCAGAGGTGTCAGACTTTGACCTTTTTGGACACATCAGAGCAATATATGCAGAAGAATGATACATGTTTTAATTTTGCCTTAACTGAACACATTAAGCAGGACAAACCTGGCAAAGTGTTTGGCAATGTACGCCTTTACAAGTATCCAGTAAGGGAACTGTGTGTTTATGAAACATTAGATTATTACCTACAGGCTACTGAAAAGCTCAGGAATTCTTCAAAATTGCTTGTTTCGTACATTAAGCCCTATAAGGCAGTAACCTCGTCTACTATTGGACGCTGGATCAAAACTTTGTTGGGACAAGCAGGGGTTGATACAGAAATATTTTCTGGTCATAGCACTAGGTGTGCTTCAACGAGTAAAGCTCTTATGTCAGTTTCCACTGATGTGATTCTAGCTACAGCTGGTTGGACTGAGGAGTCCACTTTTCGGAAGTTTTACCACAAGCCAGTTGCTGTAACAAACCAGATGAGTTTGGCAGTTCTTACTTAGGTTAATGCCTTGTACAACAAAATTGTATTGCAAAGTAGTGTACAAATAAAGTCGGCGTGTGAAGTTGTTTGGGTGTTTCTCATTTTGTGCTCACTGCGTTAAAGTCTCATGGTAACCCGGATGTACGTAATGATTTGGTAGAATTGAAAATTAAACAAGACTTACCTGTAAGTTGAAGTTTGATAATAATTCTGCCAAATCATTAGTAGTACAGTAGGGTTAACATGCCCATAGCACCCATATGTTCACACCCACCCCTTACGTCGTTTCGGCTGCGTTTTAGTGATCACAAAATTCTTTTAAGACTGACCTGCGGCGGTGCGTGCGCATCTCATGTTAACCCTACTGTACTACTAATGATTTGGCAGAATTATTATCAAACTTCAACTTACAGGTAAGTCTTGTTTAATTTTCAATTTACCCGGTGGATACCGCTATCCGACGTTTAAACAACAGGGACAAGTTGTAAAATATGAGAGACTTTAAGATTCGAGGACGAGAACGCATGACTACACGTTTGAGATTAGACTAAGTTTTTTTCGCGTATTCTCCCAAAATAAACGCCCCGGAAAACTTCTTTGTACTTTTTTTCAACCAGAAGAGTTAGCACTGTTATCTTTATTGACGGTGTTTTAGCCCTCTCTTCATCCTAAAATGATAAACTGAAACTTCTAACATTTGATAACTTGTTTCCGCCACTACGACATTCTCGCTAACTCTTAATAGAAAGACGAAGACTATCTCGTTTGCCGCCAAAATGACGATGGTTCACGCGCGCGTACTACATTACTTAGTATTGAGAAAATTTCGTTCTCGTAGACGCCCTCGTCTTAGAATGTAAAGGTCTCTTTTCTATTTCACAAAATACCTTAGCAGGAGTCAGTGACATGAGACAAGCTGTCAAAGTCTTGATAGTAGGTGGTGATACGTGTACATATGCCATTCCAGTAGACACGTCAATTTTCATGTTAGAACCTTCAGGGACAGAGCTCAGGAGGGAAATATGAGATAACTGAAGAACCTGGACAAGAAATGCAAACATTTATTCGTAAACGGACGGCGCTTCCAGATCAGTAAGCTCGTAGTTTTTGCACAGTCTTGATTTAACAGAAAAAGAGGATATAGGAGGGGGCTATGAAAATTTGGGAGGAAAATTTGGAGTATCCAGCATTTTTCAAGGATAAAAAAGATTGAAAAAAAGCTGTTTTAAAAGTAAGTTGTCAGTTTCGATATTTTCTTTAACTTCTTCCCGAAAGAAAACGAGAAACGGAAACGAAAAAAAAAACCTCTCTCGGAACCAAGGCTGCGAGTGCAGCCGCCTTTCACTCGCTCGCCGTCCTTAAAGTGAAGGGGCGATGAGAGGCGGCTGTACTGAGATTCCCCAATCGGCTTTTCAGGATCCGGGATCTGCCAGGATTTGGGTATGTTAAAGCAAAACGGGGCGAGATTCGGGATTGAAAGTACGCGCGGCATGTTGGATGCAAATAATAGCTATCGGGATTACGAGATTGAGCAAAAATATGGGTCGGGATGACCCGATTGAAGAACCCTATTGGGGACCTTCTGTATCCACAGGCTAGTCAGCGGAACCAGACATAAAAAATATACCGAGGAGGACATTCAAAAGTCAAGTTAAAAAGGTTTTACACGACTTGAAATCAGCCTTTACCCTTGACGAGGTTGTTTTTCTTCTTTCTTTATCAAACGCTGCTGACAAAATGACCAAATCTGACACAGATCCTGACATCTTCTGCTGACCATGCCCTTGAACAAAGCGGAAATCAACAGCGTTCTGCAACGGGCAAAGAATACGACACAAGTTGTTAAACCTCTGACACATGAGGCGTTGCTGCAGCCCTCAAGATGATATCTGGGATGCATTTAGGCGAAATTTAACTAGAAATACGTTGTTAGCAAAAACTTCGCAAAGCTGTAAAGGGCCAGCAGTGAGAATAAGGGGAAACGAGCCAAAGGGGAAAATATGTCAATTTAATTATTGCTACAAAAAATGCATTTTATTCGAGTGTCAAGGTATTTAGCCTGAAAGTACTAATTGGGGAGACTACTTTTACGTCTCCATTTGGAGACGGGACCGCCATTTCATTTTACGTGGTCATCCGAGTCACGCGAAGGTCTAGCGGCTTGCAGTGCAAAGGCAGTACCTTCATTTCTCAGTTATTTGAAGACCCTGAGTATTGGTGCGGCCCCAGGAATCGAGCCCGCGACCTCACGCTCTGCAGTCAAGCGCTCTACCAACTGAGCTAATCCTGTCTCGGTTAAAGGTACAAGGTACAGTTAATCAGTTAATCATTTGGTCAGTTGATCAGAATGCTAATCAGGCAATTTCCTGTGGGAAGTTTCCTATAAAACAGAATTGAAAGGGCTCATGTCCTATTTTGCACATGCGGTAACTGTTCACACCCACCCCTTACGTCGTTTCGGCTGCGTTTTAGTGATCACAAAATTCTTTTAAGACTGACCTGCGGCGGTGCGTGCGCATCTCATGTTAACCCTACTGTACTACTAATGATTTGGCAGAATTATCATCAAACTTCAACTTACAGGTAAGTCTTGTTTAATTTTCAATTAAAAGTACTAGTGGTCACACGTTTGGGTTGCTGTAAGATCTGATCAGGCAGGGGTTATACTGTACTTACTGTCTGCTTTGGATGTTCGGAGAAAAGTTGCTCGGGCAATTTTCCTTGCACCATCCATTACGAACAGCTCCTCCCTGTAAGCAAGGAAACTTAATTAACTGGTTGCAGAATACAATAAACCAGGTAAACAGTATCAAGTATTTTCTTGTAATCAGATCAGTTTGAGATTATTATTGCCGTGGTTGGTCAATTTGAAATAATATCTGGCCTATAATCTATTGATTGTGCAAAAAAATGTACTTCTAGTGTCCGCCTTGAATTTTGTTAAAGAAGTGTCCACTGTCCGCCTTAAAGAGAGTTTCGTTACAGACAAACAAGTGAGATTCGGCCGGGACCAGCCATTCATGTCTGCCTTAGCGAGGTGTCCGCCTTACAGTGGTGTCCGCTTAATTAGAGAGAGTTTACTGTATTACAGGATCAGATGCTATTGATGTATAATTACATTGTAACATATGTTTACTTACGATGAAGTGAAAGAAAATCCTGTGTCCTGATCATCTTCTTCAACTTCATGACCTGCAGGATCATCAACTTTAAGAGCCTGCTCAACTTGGATGAGTGTTGTATTCACCGGCGTGGAGTTTTCTTCAGCAACAACTACTGGCCTCTGGCAGGCCTCATCTTTGTATTTATTCATCTACAAGTGAAATGATTATAGAGTTGAGTCAAGTTATCTCCAATTTTCAAGGGAAACTAAAAACAGTTTGAGATTGCCGATAGTAAATATGACTGAAAAACAAGGGCAAGGGAAATAGGTTTCGGGAGTCGGAGTTCGAGATAAAGAGGTAATATAATAACATTTACCCTGTACAGGGCTCGAAATTGCGACTGATACGGTCACCAATGCGACCAACATTTTATCCTTGGCGACTAAAAATTCTAGTTTAGTCGCCAAAGTGGCGACCAGATTCCTCTATGATTTAGATTTACGTTAAAAGAGTAAACCTGCTTTGTTTTCATCATAAAAAATGTGCCAAATCGGATAAACAGAACAGTGACCAGTTTACCTCCAAATTTATACCGACTTCTATCCACGATATTTTTAGTCTGCTACACAGCCGTTTTTAGTGTCGTCACGCAATGACGACACTAAAAACGGCTGTGTAGCAGACTACGATATTTTCAAATCTGATGGATCGTACCATACTATGCAGGGCTTCTGATAGGTTGCGGAAAAAAAAGTCCAATTTAGGGGCAAATTCGCCGAAAAATTGACCGATTTCGCAGGAATTTTCGGGGCAAACTCAGCTGAAAATCAATCGGTCAAAAAAAGGCCGATTTTGTGGTTATTTCAGGGAAAACTTCGTTAGAGATTGATCGGTTTTGCGCTGACCAGACCAACGTTTTTAATGTTTTGCTAACAGAGGTCATCATTTGCTCTTTCACCAACAATACGCTCCAGAACTGAACCAATGGCAAGGCCTTTAACATCATGGCTAGTGCCCAGTTTTTCGCAACATAATTTACGCCTGGTAGTTTCGGAGTTTCGGGACGTTGCTTGCACGTTTCAGTGACGAAGTTTCGAGATAAATTTACAAGTTTACGGCAAGTAAATAGCCGCAATAGCTGAGAAAAGTTTCAAATATGTTGTACAGACATGTATTTGAAAAAGATTTGTACCGAATTTCGGGGTATTTTGCGTGTTTTTGTGAATTTCGCGGTTCTGTGACGGCGCCAAATATCAAAAGCCTTGACTATGAGTTGCGTCATTTACATTATACAAACTGGCGACTAAAAATTTGCAACTGGCGACTATATTTCTCCAGTTGGTCGCCAAAAGGCGACCTGAGGATTTTTCTAATTTCGAGCCCTGCTGTATTTAAATAAATTAAGGAATTTTATCATTTGCCAATTTAAAAAGATATTATAATGGGTGTGGCTGATACCAGGGCATCAAAAGAATTAGAGCCCTGCTCTAATAAATTATTATTGGTTCCCTGACAGTTCAGTTGACTTCAGACTTAAACCATCAATAACTTGAGCCTCCTGCTAACTCAAAGTAAATTTGTTTCCCTTCAGGTCTTTTACTTACTAACTTCCTTTAATCTTATGGTTCAAGTTATTGTGAGTCATGCAATACACTGTAAGCTATCCACTTACATTTGGAGTTGAGAAGTTGTATTAAAAAAGACAACTAGATCCTAAGCTACCTGTCTGTCATAATTAGTCATTACATTAAGTAAAGTCAAGATCAGTATACGTAACTGGTTTTGACATAAAATATACAATATCCATATGCATATGATATGAATACTGACAATGAAGATCAAAAGTTAGACACTTAAGCTTACCTTTTTAGCACGTTTCCAGAATTTTGTATTTTTCATTTGATTCCTTCTATAA